CTTCTTCCTGATATAGGATTACTCTGTAAATCAGTTAAAACACTATTGCAGCATAAGCACCATTGATTTCTGTAGCACTTCCTTACAGACAAGGATGCATGGCAGCCTTCACCAGATGTTTGATGCTGTCCAGATGGTTTGGACTCCCAGCAGCCCCAGCATTAAGCATGGGCAGTGGCTAAGGATGATGGGAATTGCAGTCCAGCAACACCTGGAGGGCACCACTTTGACTACCTTAAACCACCAGTGAGAGTGAACTTAGAAAATCCAGCTCCTATCTGTGCCCCCTGATGCAAATCAGAACAAAATTTGGGAGGGGAAGCATGGCAAGACTTTGCAGCAACTTGGAATGGCTCTGAAGGGCCTGAATTCTGCACCATAAGTGAAAGAAAAGGAGACAGGAAAATAAATGAGGGGGAGTGGGAAGCAGGACGTCTGCAGCAAGGCAGTCCCCCCTCCCTTTAATCCTTTGGAGTTTGCCAAACTGGTGGTCCGAAGGGAGTGAAGGAACCCACAGGATTGTTCCAGCTTCACACTGAGCTGAACCTGTTGTTTGCAAGCACCAGCCTCTGTTTGTTTGCTTGTTTAAACCATTTTTACCCTGCTCTTTAGCCAAAAAGGCTCCCAGAATGGCTCACATACAGTCAGTTAAAAACAGGACAGTTCTTGCCCGCCGGCTTACAATCTACAAGGCACAACACCCGAAGGGAAAGGGACACAGAGGGAAGAGAGGAAAAAATAAGCAAACTCGGGCAACAATTCTTAAACAGCAGATCTTATCATGATGAGCTGACATAGAAACAGTTCCGCGATTGGAAGGAAGTGATGCTGAACTTAGTGTGGACAACCGATTCAAAATTACCCCTAAGCTGTGTCTGCTACTCCTTCAGAGGGAGTTTAACCCCATCAAGAGCAGGCAGGCTCCCATCCTTCTGGAACAACTGTCTGAGTTAGGGTTGTCTTCCCTTCTAGTTTTTATCAGTCAAGTGGGGCAAGGGTCCAGAGTGCAAGTGGTTGCCCTGAGTGACCAGCACCATGTCCACATCCTCGAGCCCTACTAACTGAAACTCATCCAGCATAACAGGACTAGACAATGCTCTAGACTCCTCAAGATTCATTTGCTGTAACAGTGTAGTCATGGTCCTTGGAGGATGCAAACGAATTTATCTCCAAAATGCTTTGCAAACAAAGTCACAGTAAGCTACCATCAGTTCTGCCACCTTTGAGCTGGAATGTCAAAGGCCCCACACTACCTGCAAAAGCTCTGCTGGACAGCACAATGAGAATGCAAAGGAGACAGCAACATATGCCTTCTTTTCTGGCTTGAAGAGCTTTCACCAGTGTTGGCTTACCTTCGACTGGAGTTTTCCTCCATTTGCATTCAAGTCATCTCCCAGCTTTGTTTCCTCGCCTTAAGCTCTGGAATATACTAGGGAACCAAACAGGCTCCGTGAAGTGGGAGAGGGTCATTGGCCCAAGCCACTTGGATCTTCCAGAGATTGGCCAGAGCACCAATCACATCTGCCAGAAATCCCCTAGAGCCATCTGGAAATCCATTGGATCCATCAACCTCAAAGGATGGACCATCCTAATAAAGTCCCTGACCCGATACTGAAAGCCTAAATCTCAGCAGGAAGTGATCTGACCATGACAAGTGACTGGTGTCAATATCCCCTACTTTCAGATCACCCTCTTCCTGCCCAGTTGAGAAAACAAGGTCCAGAGTGTGGCCTGCCATGTGTGTTGGGCTGGTGACAGGTTGGCACAGCCCCATGGTCATCATGGCAGCCATGAAGTCCTGAACCACCCCAGAGCCAGTCGCTTTGGCATGGATGTTGATGTGCCCCCCAAACCAGCAGTCTGGGAGTCTGCAACACCCCCTCTTAGACCAGTTCTGTCAGTTCAGGCAGGGTGACTGATGGACAGCGAGGCAGGTTGTAAACTAGCAAAGTTACAGTACAGAAGGACATGTTCTATGCCTCCTGGTTCTTACAGAGGTCCTATTCTTAAGGAAAGAGAGATGCCCCGTATACCTGCCCCAAAGTATTTGGGATAGAAGAATGTTAAATCTGACCAGAATAAAGACTTTGCAACATTCAACAACATGCAGATTCCTAAGGTCTGCAGCTAAATGGAAAGGGTCATCAGAAGAGATGCCCAAGGAGTGAGGTGAGCAGGTTGTCCCTGAACAAGACCTGTATTGTCTAATCCTCTTTTTAAAGCATCCAAATCAGTGTCCATCACTTCCTCTCTTGTGGGAGTGAATTCCATAGCTGAACTATGCGCTGTGTCATTCTCCAATGAAGGACTATGGTGCTGTAAGCAAGAATAAGAGCATCAGAAGATCCTGCTAGATTGGGCCAATCCCCCTTCTAGTCTAGCATCCTGTTCCCATAATGACCAACCAGATGCCTGCAAGAAGGACCCAAGCACAAGAGCCCTCTTGCCTCCTGTTGTTTTCCTGCCACCGGTATCCAGAAGCCTTAATACCTCCAAAACCTTTCAGAATCTTCAGTTTAGTTCGTCTATCCTGTAATAGTCAATATCGACTCCCTGGGGTTGATGGGATTGTGCAGGGGGTGGATAAAGACCTATGGGTCAACAAGGGCCTATAAGGTTTTGTTTAGAAAATTTTAATTAGGAATTAAGAGCTTCTGAAATAAGGGGTGTGGGCACTGTCAGAGTGATATTGTTATTATTTTTACTTGCTTTACTTCCCTATTTTTTTACTTTTCATTATTCCTAGTATGATAGTGATCTATGATTTGTAAATATTGATGTAAACATTGATATTTCTTGTTTTATTTTGTTTACATCCCTAAGAATCTGGGCTGGAGTTGATGGTAACTTTGTAAGCTCATCAAAGAGTCAATGAACTCAGGGGTCTGGGAAACCCCAATTTAGTTGAAAGACCTATCTTCTTGCCTCGGTATCTGTGGGATGTTAGCTGTAATTTTGGAACCGGTGGGAGGCTGTATGTGTATTTTTATCATTGAAATTTTAGCGCTGTGGTCTTTCTCTGTTGCCTGCTCTTAATTCTCCAGAATTGATGATGTTGTTACTCCCCCCTGAGATTATGTGATGAACGGAGTGCTAAAAATATACTTAATAAATAGATTCCCCTGGGATCTTTGGGTGGTGGAGGAAGCTACATGTTGGAAGATACAGGGCAGATAAAAGAAAGGGCTTCTTCATGTAGCACATAGTGAAACTATGGAACTCGCTTCCACAGGAGCCAGCAATGGCCACCAACCTGGATGTCTTTAAAAGAGGATAAGAGCAATTCATGGGTCATCAATGGTTACTAGCCAAGATGGCTATGCTCTGCCTCCACGGTCAGAGGCAATAATGCTTCTGAATGCCAGTAGCTGTTGGCCTGATCCAGCAGGCTTTACTTACGTGGAGTCATAGAGGCTTAACTGTTTCGAAACAGATTTGGATTTCTAGCAGATGTGCCTTTGCTCAAGCAGTCAAGATAGCCTTCGTCTTGTGGAACAGGGTTGGCGAAACTGTGGCCTGCCAGCTGTTTCTGGACTATTGCTCCCAGCATCCCTGACCACTAATTGTGCTGGTCAGAGTTAATGGGAGGAGGAGTCCCATAGCACGTGGAGGGACAAACATTTCCCATCCTTGTAAATGAGCAGTCTTCCCTAGCCTGATGCCTTCCAGCTGTATTACAGGTCTGGACATGCTTGTTGTGCGGATGATGGGACCATAGGTTGAGCCTAGTGGATCAGGCCAATGGCCCATCTAGTTCCTCTTCTCACAGTGACCACCCAGGTGCCCCAAAGTGAGCCCAGAAAGCAACTGTGGTTTCCAGCAACTGGTATTTATAAATTTCCACCAAGTCAAATTTTAAAGAATAAAACAAGGATGAAGTGATTGACAGCAATGTTTTTCTTCCTCATGCCTTCTCTATACGCAGCTGGGGGTGTGGAGTTTTATAAGTTGTGTGTCTTTGTTTCTTTTTTAAAAATAATTTTTATTAAAGATTTTCTTAGTTTACGAAAGTACATGCATTGTCTCTTTTTTCAGGTTGTGTTTCTTTGTTTCTCAATTTGTTCCTTTTACATGGTTTTGTATGTATTGTGGTATTTTATGAATTATGCCTTGCAGTTATTCTATTGATCAATTATTTTTCATAATTGTTAAGAGTGAATTTCTGTTTAATGATCATTTGCTGATGTTTCCAGAGTTAATTTTACTCTGTGCTGTTACATGCTAATAGATTATTGAATATTACTTTATTTGATATAAGTCATTCCATTTTAAAGTTATGCTTTATTATGACTTTTTGTATTTAATCAGATTATTATAAACTGTGTGTTCTTTGTTGTATATTTTGTTGCTGTCAACCAGCTTGTGTATAGCAATATAGAAAGGCAATATAGTCATGCCTTGGGTTGAAGTAGCTTCAGGATGAGTATTTTGGGGTTGCGCTCCGTGGCAACCCGGAAGTAACTGAGCGCGTTACTTCTGGGTTTCGCCGCTCGCACATGCGCAGACGCTCAAAATGAGGTCATGCGCGGAAGCGGCGAATCGCAATAACCACACACGCAGACGCGGGTTGCGTTCGCTTCAGGATGCAAACGGGGCTCCAGAATGGACCCCGTTCGCACCCAGAGGTGCCACTGTATGCAAATTAAAAGTGAAAAAACGAAATCAAATGTAAAAACTGAACAGGAAAATGGGTACCATCTCCAGGAATTGCTCAGCTACTAGCCCCAATAATATGAATGGGAACCTTGCAAAATCCTGTTTTTGGCTAGCTCCTCTTAATTTCACTGTAGCTTGTGCACAAGGAGTGTGGCATCCCAAAAATGCTCTTTACATTGACATGTTTCTTGTTGCTTTGTTCTATTCTCCCGTCAGGTATTCTAGCATGCTAGAAAGCTTCTATTGTGCCGAGAGTTGTTGTCTCCACATGTGTGTGCGCTGTTATTTCTTAAAGGAAAGTTTTGTGTAGTAGTTTTTTTTACCTGCCTCTCCTTGTCTTTCAGATTGACCCAAAGGTTGCATTTCCCCGCAGAGCACAGCCCAAGGTAGGTACTTGTTTACAACTTTTGAGAGTGACCTCCCCCCAACCAATCATACAGATGCTTTGGGGTCATCAAACTTTGGAACCGCTTCCTTGGCCACCAGGCAGATGCTGGGTGCTGGAGCTCTTCCTCTTGGGTTGATGTACAGATGAGCCCTGGACTTTTCCAGCTCCTTGCAGCTGAAACCTCAATGTTTTTAGAGCATGCTGGTTATTGGGTTTATGCCTGTTGTTTCAACCACCAGTGGTCTTCCCTGATGATGGATCAGAGATGGAAACTGCACAAGAAGCACCTTTCAAAGCGGGACTCCTCACCTGGGGCTACCTTGCAGTGTTCCCTTCTGTCAAATTTGCCTTTCTTTTGAGTGTCCACACTTCATTTTTCTAAACCTCCCCGTGGCTCCCGTTTGTGTTGGTCTTGCTTCTTTTTGGGATTAAGATGTCCACTTGCATGCACTAGAAGCTTGGCTGCCCTCTTCTTAAGTAAGACCTTTGTCCTTGGCTCCTGATGGAAGGAAACAGTTTTATAAGTGACCCGAAGAGAAGCTTAGAGGCAACTGCTTGAACTGTGACCCGCTGCAAGCTTGAATGGTCTATATTTTACTTTTTACTAGAAACCAAAGGTTTAACCCAGGGGTTGGCAACCTAAGGCCCATGAGCCACAAGCGGCCCACGGGGGTCGTTTAACCGGCCCCCGAGCCGCCCCTGAACCAAGCCGCCTGCTTGGCGAGTCCCCACGTGCTGCGCTAAACCAGTGCAGTCCAGGGACTCGCTTCCGCAGCGCTGAAAATCGCATCTGTGCATGCGCAGACGCCGGAAATCATGGGTGCACGTGCATGAGCATGCACGATCCGGCCCACAGAGGGATCTCCACTGGAGTGAACCAGCCCAGGCGAGGTAAACCTTGCTGACCCCTGGTTTAACCATTTGGATGCAAAACGGTGGCTTCAGCAGGGGTGTGGGGTGTAAGACAGCCCCGTACAGCAACCTGTGATTCATATACTGGGCTGACCTGAATGAGTTCAGGAACCTGTGGCCCTCCAGAGAGCGAGCCTCATTTAGCAATACATTGGCTTGCATGGTGGTTTGCGAAAGTTCAAAGGGACAAGTCCTTGCTCCAGGGGACTAATCATCTAAAATTTGACATTGGGGGAGGGGAGGGAGAACTGAGGCAGGAGCGAAACGAGGAAAGAATATGCAGTTAGCTTGAGTTTTATTTTGTTGGGTTCTCGCTACTCTTTCCCTTGCTACAGACGCTTTACCTGCTGACATCCCCTCTTCTACGCGAATCTCAAAAGACCCAATTTTCATGCTGCTCTTAACTGCTTTTAATCGAAATGTTAAAATATTGCATTTAAAGCTTGTGAGCTGCCCAGAGAACATACGCCGTTGGGTGGCCACAGAAGTGTAGGAAGTAAAATAAAGGCACCTTTTCTGCCCTTTGTCCTTGGGCTTGATGCGCAAATGAGGAGGGTTGGGTGGATGGGGGAACCCAAGGAGAGGGAACGTGATGTGTGCCAGCCAGCGAAGCAGGGATCAGGGCAGTGAGTGCTCAGGTATCCCAAGTAACCAGCACCACGAGCACATGGTTGGAATTGGGTTAATTCCATTAAGCAGTTTTGGTGACAGAAGGCGCTTTGCTGTTTGGGCGGGCTGTTCTCTAAGGCTTGGAATTGCTGCGGATTAGCTCTGTGCACTCCTTGGGGTAATTAGGAGCATGTGTTTCTTGCAGAGCGGGGATACAGCCATCCCGGGGGGTGGTGGTGGGTGGGGAGGGCAGCAGTGTGAAGAGAGAGCCTATTTGAAAAGAGCATCCCGGGCCCTTTCTGAGATCAGGGAGTTCTGCAGGGCTGAACGGACCAGGAAGACGTACAGAGAAGTCTCTTTCCACAAATGCACTTGCCCTTTCTGAGCGTCTCAGAGTGAATGTTCTGCCAGCCATGCTTGGGGTGTGTGTCTGCCTGTCTCTCTTGCGGTGACTTACCAGCACTCCTGCATCAGATGCAGGGCCTTGTTGTGAGTCTCAGGTGGAAGGGAGAAAACACACACACACACAGCGCTACAGTCCAACAGTTCTCCTATGCAAGTCCTGCTGAAGTGAATGGAATGAGCTGTTCAAAAGCACCCTGTTTAAAAGCTGTTGAAAACAGGATTTAATGGGTAGGCAAAGAAAGCAAAGCGGCGGGGGAATAAGTAGTTTGCAAGCAGACATTTCATGCAGGGGGTGTCACAGTGAAAATTCTGGATGAAGCGAAGCTGAATTCTGCAAATTGTATAAGTTATGCAGATTAAGTTTCTAGGCTGCATAGCTCCCTGCAATGCAGAAATCTCAACTAAAGCTAAGTTATTCTGCATAATTTAATTATTGGGAGGGGCAAAGAGCTAAGCAGAGGTCACCAAAGCACCACCTGTAACTGCTGTAAAGGTTGTTCATCACATCTAGCACTTATAATTGCACAAGGCAGCAAACCACCGGAACCTTAAGGACTGGAACTTGGCTTCTTGATTTTTTTTAAGGGAAAAAGAATATTTTTTGGTGTTCTTTCTCAGGAAGCAGGATTCTTAATATGCATGGGATAGTGGCTCATGGAAATGTCTTCCTTTAAACTTGCACATAAATCACGGGATGGTGATAAACAGCATATTTTCTTTAGCTGGCAAAGTGAAATGAAGTTTTCGTAGTTTTGAAGGAGTGGCCCTTTTTGCTGTCCTACTGCCTTCTTGTCCTTCTGTCTTCTAGATGGTGACACGGACCAAGAAGATATTTGTGGGCGGCCTCTCCGTGAACACCACCGTGGAGGATGTGAAACAGTATTTTGAACAATTTGGGAAGGTAAGTGCTTTGGGTCCAGTTAAGCAGCCAACTGCATCCCTCCTCCGGGTATATCTAAACTGCAGCCATAACCTGGTTAGCAATCTGGGAAATGTAGTTCAGTCAGTGGAGGCGGGGAGGTGTTAGGAAGCAGAATTTTCAGTACTCTCACCAAACTTGCAATTCCCAGGATACTTTGCAGGGAAGCTGTGATTGTATAAAACCAATATTACACCTTTTGGGGTTTGCTGAAGGAAAGGATTAGGAAATGCAATGTTTTCCTTGCTAAGACATCCACAGATAGCTTGGTGTTCTGTCAGCTGACCTGGGAAAAAGCTGCCTGGCCTGTTCTTCTGCCTTTAAGACCAGTCTAAAGTGCAGAAATCAGCAGGTGATCAGTGGTACCACTTCCTGCTAATCACCAGAGCTGCTAAAGGCAGAGCTACAAGGACTGCTTGTAAAGTTGGCGATTCCAGCTTCACGGGAGGTTTATTTTAAAGGTGTTTTGCCTTTGGGTGCCTCACAAATTCACAGAACGTGAAGTAACCCAACAAGTCAATGCTCCCTCTCCAACCCAGATTCTCCTGAGATGAGGCTGAGGACTAGTGGCATGGCCAGTTCATAGTTCTAGGTGATTTGTATTTTCATTAGAACCCTAAACCATGTGATCTTCAACTAAGTTTGAAGTTCTGACCCTAAGAGTTCTTCACTCCTAAGCCTTATAGTTGACTAAACCCCTTCCACACTCTTCAAATAGTTTCTCTCTCTCTCTCTCTCTCTCTCTCTCTCTCTCTCTCTCTCTGCCCTTCCCCAAACAATTAAGACATTTTGGTGCCTGAGATGGAAAGTGGCCCTCCCTGCTACTTGATGATGGTAATAAATTTAGCTTGTTGGTTACTGGACACATAAGGATTCTCCAGACAACTCAGAAAATGTTAAAAGCATAAAGCATGACATGAAATCAGAAAAAAAGAACAATGTGTTCACGAAAAGACGTACAGTAATCCAGCTGAACAGCACCAGAATCATTCCATCAATAGGGAGCAAAGTCATGATAATCCTCCCAGTGCCTCAAGTTGTAAGTTTTTAACCTGGCGCTGAAAGGCTGTTTGTTAAGAGACCCCAGTGCAGGGCTCAATCATCCAAGAAGCTCTTCCGTGAACTTGCACAGATCCCCCGGTGAATTAAGTTCCAGGGATCAGACCTGTTCACCTCCCACACTGCCACCATAGTCTGATACCTGTGGTGTTCATCTTCCCTTTCTGGGCATCTCCTGCCCCCTTTTCTTTCAGGGACCTGTGATACCACCTTATCCAGATTTCAGTTTCATCTAAGTTGCTCCCCAACTCTTGGTACCTTAAAAAAAAAAAGTTCTTAGTCTTCAGCAACTAGCCCAATTTCCTGCTTTCGGTTGTTGGGAGCTGAATCTGAGCCAGAACACTGATGCTGTGTGAATTTTTTTTGTTAATGCATAGCCATCCTATTTTACTTTTTTATTTTATAAACCTATAAACATTTTATAAACATATAAATAACTCCCAGAGTGTGGCTCAGCCTTATCCCCCAACCTGGTACCCTCCAGATACTTTGGATTTGACAATTCCCATCAACCACCAGCGTTATGTGCCATGCTGGCTGATGATCTGAAGGGCACCCAGTTGGGGAAGACTGGCATAAAAACAATATAGTCATCAAAATACAGTCGTACCTCGAAAGTCGAACGCCTTGTGAGTAGAACGTTTTGGCTCCTGAATGCCGCAAACCCAGAAGCGAGTGTTCCAGTTTGCAAACATTCTTTGGAACCCGAACGTCCGACGCAGGTTCCGCGGCTTCTGATTGGCTGCAGAAAGCTCCTGCCCCCAAATCGGAAGCCACGCCTTGGTTTCTGAACATTTTGGAAGTCGAACAGACTCCCGAAATGGATTCCGTTCGACTTCCAAGGTACGACTGTAATAAGAAATGGTGGAAAGAATAAAACAGCAGGTCAAAAATACAGTGCTGAAACAAAAAATGGCTGGAAAAGTGGAAAGGTCTTTGTTTGGTATGCTGTGAGTGAGCTTCCCTCGAGAGATAGTTGCCCAGGCAGGGTGTCATAGGAACAAAGGAGGAACGTAGGAAGCTATCTTATACCGAGTCAGGCCATTGGTCCAGCTAGCTCAGTATTGTCTGCACTGACTGGCAGCGGCTTTCCAGGGTTTCAGGCAGGGGGTCTCTCCCGACTGTACCTGGAGATGCTGGGGATTGAACCCGGGACCTTCTGTGTGCAAGGCAGATGCTCTGTCACAGAGCTCTGGCCCACCATTAGTCACGCTTCTCTATTCAGAGAGTGGGTTGGGTCCAGTAATGGGCCTCCGAAAACGACCTGAGTCCACCAGCAGGTTGTCCTTGTGGCACAAGTCCCAAGTGGCGTGTAGTGCTTTAAAGGCGATCTGCCAACACTCTGAATTCTGCTCGAAACCAGATGGTGAGCTCTGTCAACACTGGCATGGTGATGTGGTCCTAACAGCTGGTCCCAGTTAGCAGCCCAAAGCGGATGTGTTTTCAGGTACTCTCTTCTGTACAGTCTTCAAGGGCAGCCCCACAAACATTTGGCATATCTGTTTGCCTGTTATGGTCTCTTAATAGCTTGTTCCAGTGTGAAAGATTATGGGGGGCACTTTAAAAGGGCTCAGATGGGCCAATTCTAGCAAGTAACCATGAGCCTTTCTATAGCCACCAGGGTCTTTTGGGGGTGGGGGATAGACCCAAGCTTGTGAATGCTTGCTAACTGCTGCCTGGTGATTCTTAGCTGAATGCAGGAGAGCTGTGGGAACCTTCTAAGGGTTTTAAGGAAAAATCATATAATTGTGCAGTTGGAAGGGACCCAGTGCAGGAATCACACAACCGATGGCAATCTTGTGAGGTTTGTGAAATCCCCACCATTGTCTGTCCAACCCCACTCACAGGCTATGGGGTAGTGTGCCTCCTTGGAAGTGAATACCGTTCAATCTGTGGAACCTCCTTCTGAGCAAGTTTTTAAAAAGTTCTTCAGATTTAATGTGAAATGCATTTTTTTTAAAAAGAAAGATTCCAGCAGAGATTAGATACCACTGTCTGTTCTCTTTCTCAGGACCCCCATTTTTTAATTTTAAACTTTTACTGGTTTGTTTACTTACCATGGTGTGATGCATTTGGATAACTATTCAGTCTCGTTGACCCAAATGGCACAGGGTAGCCTTAGAAATAGTCAGAAACATTGGGGTCAAGGTATTATGAGTACTCTTTCTGAGCGTAGGAGGCCATGGGAGGAAGGTTTGGTTAATGGAGTTACTACTTACTTTTGGTGAAAAGAAAACTGGTAACTGGAGGAGGATGGGAATCGCAAGTGAGGAGGGTTGTTGCTGCATTCATGTCCTGCTTGTGGGCTCCCCTTTGGGGCATCTGGTTGGCCACTGCGAGAACAGGATACTGAACTAGCTGGGCCATTGTCCTAATCCAGCTTCAGGGCTCTTTCTAACGTTCTTAACTGGGGTTGATGCCTTAACTTTCAGGGAGGGAGAGGCACATGGTGAGAGAGACCACCTTGTTCCCCACAGGCCCTCTTGGGTGCTGAGATCAGCAGAGGGGATCCTCTTAGTAGTTCCTCTGCCCTCAGATTCTTGGGGTGATGGTGGTGGCTTGGGCCAGGGCCTTCTTGTGGTGGCCCCTAAGCTGTGGAACTCCCTTCCCACAGAGGTGCATCTAGCACGTTCTGGGGAATGCTGAACCTCTTCATCCTGGCTTTTGACACTTTGAGGTGCATGTTTTTAAGACCCACCTTACGTTTATGATCGTAAGCTGTTCGAAATTGTTTTTGAATATTGTGTTTCAATGCTGTAACCTGCCCTGGGGCCGCAGGGTGTGAAGGGCGGGAATTAATAATACTCAAATTGGCATGATCCAGGAGGAGCGGAACCACACCTTTGCCTGGGATCTTGCTGTTTGCCCAACTGCTGCCCCATTCCAAGTAGCTGTAATCACAGAAAAGTAGAGTTGGAAGGGGTACCCAAATGTGCAGGAATTACAGCGTAGTTGTCTGTGCAGGAGACGAATCTTCCCGAATGTGGGTTTGAGAGAGAGCCCACAGCCCTTTTGCTTTCCTTCCTTTGCCCCTGCTACACATCCTGCTGAACTCCTTACAAAATTACTTCCTGGGGCAGGCGGCTCCGGCGTTTGGATGGCATTGATACTTGGCAGCTGCTGTCGGCCTTCCCTCCTGGCCAGGAGAGCCAGCCAGCCGCTGTTGCACATGACTCTGCGCCCTGTGTGGATCCTAAGCTCTCTTCTATGACGTTGCTTCCACAGAGCCCTCCCTTATGTGGCCATGGATGCTCTTTGATCAGTAGTTGGCAGTGAAGGGGGCACCTTCGTGTCCCAGCATAGATCAAAGGTACAGATATACAAATGTGTAGTTTCCCCCCCTCCCCCTCACTCCCCCCCTCTGTCTTCTGGCTCAAAGAATCACAAAACCAGCTTCACCCTTTTCGTCTCTGTTGCTCGCCTAGTCTTGCCCAAAGACTTTTGTAGATAGTTTTATCATTATCTGTATAGTTAGACTTAGATGTAGGAAAAACAATAATAATAATAATACATTTCAGCTGTTTATAGTGATTTTTTTTCTTTTTTTACCCTTTTCTTTCCCACTGTTGTTGTGTTTTAATTTTTTGTATGTAGCTTTGAAGGTCGCAGAGTGTAGATGACCGCGGTAGCACATGTGTGTTAGCGACGCTCCATTTTCATATCCACCTCCAAATCATATGCTTAGCCAATGAATGTAGAACTTGAAAACAGGTTCTTTTTTTGGGGGGGGGGAGAGAGAAGTGGCTGTGTGTATATATCTCCCCTGCAGCAAACTGATTTCAGAATTTGCCTCTGCCAGCAGCAGCTTGGTAGTGAAAGGATTCTACAGGACTTTTCTGCATGGAGCTCTTTCTTGGCCTAAGTAATGTATGAATACATGGAACAGGTGGGTCAGGGTTTAGCAGAGAGCTGGAATCAGAAGC